CTTCTCAGTCACCTTTCTAAAACCTGTAAGTCGATTTATTTTGCTATAAATAATGGTCCTGTTGAAGCAAACTGGATTAGTTATCAAGGATAAATGTCAGCCTTTATCAGTGTCCCAACTCGAATGGTCAGGGCCGTAATAAGGCACCAATGAAATATATTTTTATACTATGAATGAAAAATCGAATCCGGGTACTTCTGACTACAGGAGTGCCCAAAACTGTTCTCTTCTGTACCTACTGAACCAACATAACTCATCGATTTATATAGTAATGTAGGGTTTTACGGCTGGCGTCAATGTTTTGGTTGGTTTCCGGGTTTTGCCGTGGTCTTCTTTGATTATAATCTCCAAACATTTCAACTGCAACTACCGCAGTTATAGCTGAAACGTTTGGAGATTATAACCAATAAAGATCACGGATAAACCCGGAAACCAACCAAAACATAACCCATCAATGTTCCCCACAAAAAAACAAGTCATTTTGTTCAATGGACTCGATAATACCAAACTTAAAGACTCTCTAGAAGCGCTAGGAACACGAATAGACCCTAAAAAAAATGTATTCTCATCAAGGATTTCAAACAATAGAATTTGCATTTACTTAGCAAGAAATAGTCCATGACTTTTTAAATAGGGCAGAAGGAAAAATTATAGTAAACCAAAAAATTCTACCGGCAAAAAACTCATAACTTTCAATGAAAAATTAATCATTTCGAATGTATCTCCTACGATTCCCCATGAGGAGTTAGAAACGAAACTACTCAACCTACATAAAGTCTCAGGTTACACTTGTTTCCATGAAAACAGAGACAACCCCCTTATGCCAGTGAAGGAGTAGCCATTTTTGAAAAAAAAACACGTTGGAGGCAGAAATCATTCCATTTACTACTTATTTAGAAGCTGTTGCGATCACAATTCTGGGACCGCAAAAACTGCACATCTGCAATGTATAAATTCTTCCGGATCAGAATCCAAGTGAAGTAGAACTGTCCAAACTCTTTAACCAACTACCCACCCCACTACTCACACAACCACATATGGGGGTCAACGAAACCAATACAAATGGGCAAAACAGTAGAAACTGTTTTTATGAATCTAACTCTTAATCTTCTAAGTAACGAAATGGATACTAGGTTCGATACCGCAAATAGGGTATCTTCAGCAATCGACCTATCTCTCTGCGATCCAGAATTATTTATGTTATTGAACTGGGAAATTCTTCCAGAGTTATATGGACGCGATCTCTATCCCATACTTATCTCCAAAGAACAGTCACAACAATCAATTTCTATACCTCAAAATAGCAAACTGAAGTCAATTCACAACAGTTATTGAAGCCAATAGATGACGAAGATATGCTAAACCTTGACATAAATGAAACCATTAGTAGTTTCTTACAAATTATTAGACAGCTCGCTGAAAAAGCTATCGGGAAATCTCTCTTGAACAAATATACTGCTCTTCAGTGTCACTATTTTGCGGGTTTTTAGACCGTGGTTTTTTGGAATGTCTTCCTGACGTTTCGCTGGCGCGAGTGGCTAGCTTCCTCAGAGGTCATCGGTGATATAAACTCAGATATTAACCTCTGAAGAAGCTAGCAGGAAGAAATTCCAAAAATCCACGGCCTTCAAACCGAAAAATAGTGACACTGAAAACCTCAGCCGCGAAAACCTTAAACATTTTGATATCTCTCTTCCTTGGTGGAATCAAGAATACCAAGAGGCAGTAAAAAAATTAAAAAGAGCATTTTACACATTCTGAAAATATAAAACTTCTGAACACCAAATACAATTTGGTTGGTCAGTAGCCAAGCGGTTCGGCGTGGGTGCTTTGTACACTCACTCGAATTGACTGCCGTGTTGGTCGGTGGTTCAAGCCCTAGTCTGAACGATCGATCTTCACTTGCTACCGTCCAATCCGTGTTAGGAATCACACGTTAAAAGGTAAGACCTCGTTAATCCTTAGCTCGCACAAGTTTCGACTTTTGAGGGTTGTCGTTCGTAGGGGTGCGACAGCTGGTTAACGAAAAAACAGATTTTAAACAGATGTTTTTAAACAGAATTCAAACACTCGAGGGCCAAAGCAAGATACATCATAAAAAAAAGCAGAAGGCAATGTTTGAAAACAATTGTATCAGAAATTAATTCTAATACCCCCGTTAGCAAAATCTGAAAAATAATTGAATGGATTTCTGGCAAGCCGGACAATAAATATATTACTTACATTAGCAGAACTTTCGGATTGCCTTAATGAAACTAAAAACTCTTCTAGCCTAGATGACATTCCTATAATCTTTCTCAAAATGATGCCCAATAGCACTGAAGAATTACTTCTCAGAATTTATAACGTAATTTGTAGCAAACATGTTTTTCCTCGCCCGTGGTCTGAATCAATCATAGTTCACATCCACAAAACCTGTCATTTAAAATCGTCAACTAAATCATACAGACCAATTGCACTTACCTGCGCAATGTGTAAAATTCTGGAAAAAATCATTGATAAAAAATTACTGTGGAGTCTGAAAAAACTAAAACTTCTCATACCTCAACAAAGCGGATTTCAAAAAAAACTATCCACACTTTGTAATCTGGTTTACCTTAAATCTGAAATCCGTTATTTTTTTGCAAATGACCAAGATTGTATTGATTTTTTTTATATATCCAAAGAATACGATACAGTATGGAGACACAATTATCACTCCGCAAGTGACCACTTCATGGAAATATCTTGAAATTTATTACAAATTTTTTAGCATACATACTACTACTATGCGGACTATCTGGTTATATTTGGTAGATGTAAAAACCTAAAGACTGTTCATAATTACCTTCAACATTTTTTAGTCCAATTACAAAAATAGTCCTCAAGCTCTAGGCTACAAATTACCTTTGAGAACAACAAAAGTATCTAAACGTTCAAAAGATAATTTACCCAAACTACGAGTGTATAACAAGGATATCGCATTCGTAAACCAAGTCAAATTTTTGGGTATGTTATTCGATCCAAAGCTGAATTACCTCAAAATGTCCTGCCATAATGGTTTGAACTTCATGAGAACCATTGCTTCAAAAACTTGAGGTGCAGACACAAATATGTTAATGACAATCTACAGATTCCTAATCAGATCAAAGTTAGAGTACGGATCAATAGTATATAATTCGGCGAAGAAATCGGGTCTAAAACAACTTGATACTGTAATAATGCTATCAGAATTTTCCTTGGGGCATTCTGCACAAGTCCAACCAAAAGCCTACAATGTAAATCAAGCTAACCATCTTTAGCAACTCGAAGGCAGTGTTTAACCCTCACCTATGCTGCTACCATTATATCAAACCCTGAAAACCCAGTATACCATAATGTGATCGCTTATAGATTTTCTTCAACATATGCTAAGAAGAAGAAAGCTGACCTTCCTTTTTTCGAGAGACAAAATCAGTATCTACATAAGAACCTCCATCAACCAAACACCTTCTCCGACCCGAATATCCCTAACCCAACCCCACAGATTACCCCAAAAATTCTCATTGACATAAACCTTAACTAGTTACAAAATTTATATGGATCCCTTTTCACATACGTATAATAAGAAACGAAAAAGCTGACCAATTAAAGAAGCCAGTATCTGTACTTTAAACAGTACAGAAAACTATGTATTTCATACAAATTTGCAGTAAACTTTTCGAAGTAAAAACAAGTGTATTCCCATGGATACATCTCCTAACAAGTAGTGGAACTAAGGTCATAATATCTCGCCTGCGAATAGGCCACACTCGCCTCACCCTTGGATACCTCATTGCCGGCGACACCAGCCCTATGTGTGAAGTGTGCGACTCTCCCATAACTGTTGACACTATCTTAACGAAGTGTGTGCTATATTTCAACGAAAGACTGACTAATGTTATCTAGCCATCAACTAACAATGCATTAGGACCTAAATGTAATATTGAAATTATTGTAAAATTTCTAGATAATGTCAACTTGTTCAACGTTATGCAACTCCCTTGCACTTAATGCATTGTTCAGTCGCTAATAACCATGGAGGTTGATTCAACTTCAAATACAGTAAATGAAAAAAAAACAAAGTATTGAAAACCAGGAAATATGACATATAGAGAAAAATAAGTAATGTTGGAAACAATTATTATATTTTGTATCAATTTCAGAACAAAAGACATTTGGTACATCCTAAATGATTTTACCTAATGTTATATCGTTACAAAAAGTTTGTTGTAACATTAATATTTTGGACTCGATTACATAATTTGAAAATAACATGTTATTATTCACAGACTGTTCAAGTTTACTATCTGAATACGAATAGGGTGCCATAGAAATATAATTATATACTAATGCAAATTTTATCCCTATAAAATTTTATTTCTATGAAGGGTATAAAATTAACACCAAGTATCTATTTGCTTTGTTAGACTACTTTATATGACTGTTCACAAAACTAATCGGTTTTTTTTTTGAATGAGCATATTGAACTGATCACAAAACAATAGATAACTGACTGCTTTAAATACTTGATATTGTGAAGATTTTTGCCATTTGTTAAAGTGAAAACTTTCACATTATAAGTTAGCTTCCTGAAATTTTAATTAGCAAGGCCTCATAATTAAATTTTTTGTAAGGATTTTGTTTGTTAAGATCACTGCATCCAAAACAACACTTTTCTTCATCACCAGAAATGCAATACTTTTCTCAATGCGCGTTTCACCAACCAAGTTTTCGTCCTACGGAAACCGTTTTCTTTATCGAAGACGCCAACTTGGTTGGTGAAACGCGCACCGAAAAGAGTATTGCATTGATAAAACTGTTTTCATTCTTCTGAAGACGCCAACCTGTTGGTGACACCCGAGTCGAAAATAGTATTGCAGTTCTGGTGATTGGGAAAAGTGCTCGTTTTGGATTTATTCTACGCCAGAAGTTTCCGTGTTAACTTTCATTGAAATTAGTGCACTTTAAGGAATGTTGTGATTGGTTTCATTCTAGATTTGTTTTTTTTTGGATTTGGAACCAAATCAGGGTAGTTTCAGATAAGAAGACACATGAGATTCTATATTCAGTTTAGTTACATGCAAGATTTTTGAACAATCATGAAAGTTTTTTAAAAATCAACAATAAATAACAGTAATTTATGTGTAGGTAATCCTTATTTTCAACAGACTGTATTCAGTAAAGTTCACAAATAATCTACTAACGTTGATACATTACTACAAAATAAAAGTAGGTACAATGAAAAACTCCAACAATATTTAGCACGGAGTTGTTAAAAAAGTAGTAATGAGTGGAATACTCTGAAAATTTGAATGATCTTCAATAATTTACTATGTTTTTTACCACTTTTATTTGTAACTAACGTTACTGCAGTTTCGTCCTATCTCTTACCACGTAGTAACGCCTACATCCATCAATTTATTCAATATTTTTTTCCAAAAAAATCACAGAGTATTAAAATATTGTTGTTATTTCTCATGGAATGCATTTCAAAAACGATACTTTCTACTACAGATCCAATCAAGAGTAGGTCAGAGTACATAAAAATAATAATAAAAAGTTGAACACTTAAAAGGAATGCATATAAATAACACATCGAAATTATAATGTGAAAATAAATATTGGCTGATCAAATAATCATTTGAAGCTGAAAAATAATATATTATGGGTATCTGAATAAACTTGCTTGGTTCAAATAGTCCATTTCTGGAAGAGAAACTTGATTGTTTTGAATTTATTGAATTTTAATGTTTTCACAGATTTTTCAGAACGTTAGACAAATTCAGGTTGGAAGAATTTTTGTTGCTAGCAACTAATCTGTGTCGGGATGGAGGGATTCAACAGATCTGCAGATCTCGTGTTATATTGATTTAAGAGTATATTGGTGTTTCTCAAATTTGTTTATGTCTAAATATACCTCTAACAAAACGATGTATATGTATAACGAAGGCACCGGCATTATACCGAGCTGAATAAAGTGTTGATGACAGTGATATCTATATCCTATATTTGCTAAAATACGAATGTTTTCTTTCTGATATTGAAATACCATTATTGCATTACTTGAGCTGCCCCAACATAGCTATATGATACTATCGAATGAAATGAGAGAATAATTTGTTACGTTTAGATTGGTTATTGGTTTGAGTTGTCTTAGAACAAATAAAATTCTAGAAAGCTTTGGACTAAGTTTTTGTTCTCGGCCACAGTTAAAATCAAAACGATGTGACGTTTCCGGTTTTACAAGAGTGGTGTCATTGGCAAATGCAATACATTTCATTAGTATAATACTTTGACATGAACGTTTAAGTAGGGGACACATAATGGTACCTCTCAAACTTTTATGACACAATACTTCAGATGTGACACACAATCAAAAGCTTTGGCAAGTCGCATAAAGTCAAGGAAGTGTATCACTCACCATCTTGTAAGTGACCCAGGTTGTGGACTTGTTTTTCCAAAATCCATATTGTGATTCACTGAAACAGATTCTCGTTTGAAAGTAGGTGTGTAACATTAGTATTTTTTCAATGATCATTCCAAATATAGAGACAATACTTATTGAACGATAGTTGTCTAAAGATGTTTTATTGCCTGGGGCTTTAGAGTATGTTTGGAAAAACGCCTTCCTTGAAAATTTAGGTAACAAGTTTGGTTAATGACATGACTACTTGTTCAGCTATAGTTTTCAATAAACAGCCATTTAGATTATTTATGTCATACTGGTTCTAAGAAGAATGAATCTTCAGGGGAAGAGAAATCTATCTCTGTCTAATGTATCTATAGCTACAGTACAAAAGTGATCATTGAAATCATTTCCAGAAAATTATTTTATAGTTTGAATTTCACTGTATATTTTATTTCTTTCTGAATTGATTATATTCCAGCAAGCTTTTTCGAGGTATCCGACTTTTTTGAAATATCTTCAACAGCTTCGAGACTACTTCTCATCGATCCAAGTTTGTCATTACAAAAACCTATTTTAAGTCGGCCATTTGCATGATGTTTTGATTTTATCTCCATGGCAAATTTTGGAGTATTGATGAAATGTTTACAGTTTGTAGCTACATTCAGATCATTTATGTCACAAGAACTAGAATTTCCCAAGTTATTGAAAATACTTCCTTTGGACTTTCCAATCTACTAATGAGAGTGACGATTTCGGGTTAACCAAGTTTTGTTTTGTGAAGCACATTTGGAATGTTAATAGTAGGTAAATTACTGAATGTTTGCCAATGCTCTGATAAACAGATTACATCAAAGTGGAAATCAATTAAAAAGGCGTGTAATTCATGCATCTTATTATCAACATGTTGAATATTTATATGAAAAATCTGTAAATTGTTCAGTTTTCATGATCATGGTTTTCCACCTTCTCTTGTACCTGTGGTGAAATCCTTCTTTTTCAAAAGAAACCAGGATACTAAGGCTCCACTGGGCCATATAACTTGCCTCCATGCTTTTGAATAATCCTCTTGTTATGATTACCTTAAATGAAGCATATAATTCAGGTTGTTCAGATGTATAATTTTTACTTCTAGAAAATTCTTGACAAGTTTTTTTGTGGAAGGATTCAGCCCCTTTACATGCAAAGAAGAGTATTTGGCGACTGTGCTAATTCGATAATTTCATTATTTTGCCTCATAACAAATCATCTATTTTTTGAAGGTTCTGTCTTGGTAAAACTTTTTTTCACTCAGCCTTTTCCTTGTTTGTAACATCGTGCATCTCTTTCATTTCATTTTTTTATTGAGCATGTAAGCTGTTTCAACTCCACTAAAGCTGAAAGTTTTCTATTGTGGAATAGTTCCTGACTGTATAAAATAAAAGACTTGGCACTAGCGCTAGTTGTGGGATACGTTTCTAATGTTTTGTGCTAGTAGTGTCCAGTAATATAACAGATTTTTGAGTTCCCATCATAAATGTTCCCTGATTAACGAAAAAAACAGATTTTGAACAGAACAGATTGTGGTTCGGAAGAAGAAGGTTGATCGAACGTTTTCTGTATTTTATTTTTATTTTGCAGTGTATTGTTCAGTTTTTGTCATCAATAGATTGACTAGTTTTTGTTTCACTCCATTGTTGCCAATTTTTTTCCAGGTTATGCACTTTTCCTAGCAATAATTCGTTGTTTTGTTTCAACTCATCGTATTTGTCACTCTGAAATGCAATATCCTACAGTACAGTGGCAGAATGATGTGCATCTATGTCACATGAACTTTATAAAATAGAATAACTTCAACTTGCCGAGATATTTATCCTATTGTGAAAGACATGACAAGCCAGTTTGAAGATAATCGTAAAAGCATTTGTTTGACACATGAGTTGTAGCGTTTTTTTGGTCCATTTAATAAAAATTCTGTTGAAGTAACAAAATATTTTAGCTCTTACATAACAAAATTTTATTGTACATTATTATTGAGAATATTGTATTACTTCATTAATATAACTAGGTAAAACAATTAAATTATTACTAGCACCCTTACATACACAATCTTTTCTTCACAATTTCATTTGTGCTATGGATTACAAATTAACAGATGAAACACTTTATACATATACCCTTCTTTTACACAGTTTCCTGTCTACAGATTCCTATCATTTCTGAAAAATATTCCCAATAATCATTCGATCTATCAATTTAAAAACACCTAAAACAGTTGCATAAAATATGAAGTAGATCCATCTCTCCAGGAAGGGTCATCTACAATCTTTGCTCGACATAAAGGACATGTTTGCTCTCGATCGAACCAAGTCGTGACACAACTTTCGCAAAATATATGGTGACATTGGAGTGACACCGGAGAATCATATTGGTCATGACAGATGGGACAGTGCTCTCCCGCAGTCTGTATTTGATCCTTGCTAGGACTTGAACCAATGCTCTACAAATAATAAACATTATATATTAGAATTTTAAAAATATGAAAGAGCAGTCCATATATTATTTCATATGAATTTAAACATTGCTAGGTCCCCTTATTTTGTCAAGTAGACTGAAGATGATAATGAAATTGAAAACTCGACATCTAAAACATTTTTTTGATTTGATTCTTGCAAAATAAAATTTTCGAAATTTAGAACTATTTTAATATATAATACAGAAGTTCACCTTGTGCTTGATATTTAATATAATTTACGAAAGGCTCCAATTACAGTTTTAAGGCTAATGCATAATTACTTTTTCAATTTGAAGGTGAAAATACATATAAAATCATGGTTTGAATATGTTGTTTGATGCTTGAAAAGCAAATATGAGTAGTAAAAATGTATGTATTTTTATTCTTTTACATACCACAAAGTCTATCAAGTGAATCGAGAGTTTTTTTTCAGCTATAATGATGAACTCATACTTTATTCTATCATTATAGGACAGTAAACATTAGTATATGACTATCTCAGTTGTTAAAAAAGATGGTTTTAAGTAGGTATCGTCCAACGAACATGATTATTATTTATTGAAATTAATTCCTCTACTTTTTATTCGATCTTGTGGTAGTTTTCATTGGAATCAAGCACATGAAGTAATACGGAATAATATTCTAATGTAATAATATAATTCTAAGATCACTTTTATATAATAAATCTGGTAGTTGCTTATGACTCAACAATGTACTTCGATAGTAATTGAAAACACTCAAACATTTCCATAAAAATAAAGAACTATATAAAATCACACTTCTTTCCATATCTAAAAGTCACTTCACTTTTGTTTAAGGTTTACCCTCAATTTTTTCGATAATTGGGATCTCGAAAACTTTCTATAGTAAATTATTTTTCTAAAATTTTTAGTATTATTGTCTTTTCAAATAGCATTGAAATGGGATCATATTGAAATGTTGGATACTTGATAATGGGGCTATGAGTTCAAACTGACTTAAAGACCAATAACAAAAAAAAAAATTTTCAGTAGGTTTTACTAAAAAGTATCCAAAAAGGCGACCATTTTCTAAATCACAAAATCGCAATTGTTTCCTGAACAAATTTTCTATACGTTACAGCATTTCTTTTGCTTTTGCACCTTCTACAATATTTGATCATTGAGTTATACTCGTACATCCGTTTTGAAATGTAGTGGCACACCATCTTATTGTAGTCACATTGTGAGTCTTGTTCCAAAATAGTTTTCATTTTAATAACTCAGAAAGTTGAAAAAATATGTTATTGAATGATTTACTTATATTCTGGGTGTTCCACTTTGAAAAAATATAGTTTTAGTTGGCTACGATCAGATGTATCACCCAGTGTGAGAGAAAATAATTTAAAAAGATGGTTCTGATTGATGTCTATGAAAAAAATAAACAGATCGAAACCTTCATCAGCACGAGAGCATTGGAGCGAGAAAATTTTGATGACTCACCCTGTATATAATAATACTGCAAGATTATAATTCAGAACAAAGGACATAGTAAATGAGTGAAGAATCTATAGGGGGACCAAACATTTTTGTTGTTGGCAGGATACAACTTTAAGATTATCATTATTACATATACCTACTGAGTGTCATTTTTAGTTTGCAATGAAAAACGCATATGTACTGTTTTGCGTATGTTGGTAAGTTATTCCATGCAACCCATGTAATTATCTTTTTGTATCCTGTGATGAAACAATTTGTATTGTCTGGATACGCAATTGGCTGTACTATTTAAAAGTTATGAAGAAAAATATAATTAGATGTTTACGAACAATATAAAAAAGAAAAAAAAAAGTGTGGTAAAAGTATAAATCCCTCAAGTAGGCCCTGTTTGATTGTTCTGGTTGATTTTGTGAATTCTGTGATATCATTAGGTATTCTGTTATTAAGAGAACTCCTGATTCCTGGAGCTATTTTCAACCTTAATAAATAAATTATTATCCACATAGATTGGAATTTTGAAGTGAAGCGGATTTTCTAGATAGATAGTCTCTAAAATAATATAGATCTGTATCAGTGCATCGGTTATTGTGAAAATCATGCTGGTTTGGTGAAAGTTTCTTTTCTGGAAGAAATGATAGCAATTGATTTTCTAAATTAAGCTCAATCATTTTGGTATATACTCATTCTTCTATAGTTATATATATGTGGTTTCTTCTCATACTGAAAAGTCTTTTATTGTGAACATATTGAATATAAAATGAATCAATAGAAGAAACCGTTTTTGAGTACAGGCTTTAATTAAAAAGCTCTACTTATGATGCACTGTTTGGAACCTTTGGTGTAGTAATGAATATTACTGAAGTTTTTTCCTAACACCAAATCGTTATTTTTAACACCTCGACATGTGTTTCGATCACCAAGTGATCATTTTCAAAGAGGAAGATTAAACTGTTTAATCTTAATCTGTTTAATCCAAATAAAGTCAGACCCATAAATTTACTATATTAAATAAAATACACTATATAAGATAAAGAAGTTAGTTGTGAGATTCACCCATGTAAATTTAGCATCAAACTTTCATATTATATAATCTGTGTAATGTAATAATTCGATGAATCTGATTTACCTTTAAGTTCATTTTCCTCTTTTTAGAGATTGAAAATGAAAGCTTGTACTTAGAAATGTTCACTACTCATTTATTTTTTATTATATGGTAATTGCTGCACAAGTACCTTAGTATCTTTATTTCATTTAATATGTCATTGTTTCAAGGTCGGTCCCTACAACATTTGTTCGTAAACGACCAAACATTCCTACCTTTTGCCGAGCTATAACTCTATATAATCAGAATGGTGACCAAAGTTTCATTAAATACCCTTATCATGGGGGATCCAGAGTGATGTCATGTAATTCTTCTTATTATTTTCAGTAAACCCTTTCATTTGATAATCATGTCATGGGTGTGTATAATGATCTACCAACCAGATCAATCTAAAATGAAATGAAACTATCTATACTTTTATTTGTTAGTATCTATCATACTCGTATTTGTTAGTATCTATCATACTCGTATTTGTTAGAACTGGAAAAGCATGACACTCTATATTTGGGTTTCACCGCACTCAGTTGTCCCGTGATCTGAAACCCACAAGTAGGGCTTCATTTTCAAAATACATCTTGGAAGCATTTTTCAGTTTATGCCTGATAGCAATATGCATACCATATCAGAGAAAAACAAATGATTCACTCTTGAAAAATCAACTTTTGCCCGGAGGTCAGGACTATTTCCAGTCATTTAGGCATTTAACGTGTATATTGGACTAATTATGTAAAATATATTTTTCAGTACGTTAATATTCAAGTTGGTTAATAAAGACAATTTTTTTCAAGGTAAGCAGTTCAAATTTCCAAATTGAATATTACATTTCTGGGAAATTGTGATTTGACCAAGAAGGAGCCGATTGGATACTACCACTAAGAGAATCTTTTCCCATGAATTCTGAATCTGATAACTGAACCACAATAATCCCTATCAATATAAACATTTTTATATATTTTTTGGAGAAATATTCATTTCATAAATACCAGTATACCGATTTGACAAATCATATCTTACAATATGATAATCCTCAACCTTTTCAGTTTTTTATTAGTTCACAAAACTTCATTGAGCTTTTCAATCTTTTGCACCTTCTGATGTTATCTCTGCATTGAGAGCAAAAGTAAAAAATATTTCGTTTTTGAGTGACAAAGACTTCAACTCGGAGGGGCTAAATCAACACATTTTTCGTGACTTACACCAGCAAAGCAGTCGTGTCAACTACACTTCTCCAATAAATTAACGCACCACATTGAAATTTCAAAATATTTTGTTGGCGTTAATTGAAACCCTACTACTATGTTATATTTGATAAACCCCTCGTATATGCCATTTGCGAATGTGATATGTTTCGGCAGGGGTTCAGTGCTTTAGTTTTTTTTTTCGTAAAAATATAAAAAAGCACGAAATTTACCTATTGAATTCGCAAATGTGAACGAGTTCAAGAGGTGTACCCATTCGGTTACTGCTTACTTGTAAAGGATTCTTGAGTGTGTGACAAATTAATGAATTGACTGTCTTAAAAAATAATTTCCAACAATATTTCACTAATCACAAACTAATTTATTTACAACACTTAGCAACTAACGTTTAATTTATTTCCACTATTTGAATTTCTTGTTTGGCCTTCGATTCACTTTCTGAACTGCCCTCTTGGGTCGGTTGGGTTGGGAAACCGGCCTTATATCTGTAACGGTCCTTTCTAGAAATCTGTAGTCGGTTCGGTTCTAGAGTTTTACCGGCGATTCCCGACTGTATTCTTTCGCGGTGATGTCATGTGTTGGTTCACTGAGTCGTCCGGCATATCGGTCAGGGGCGTCTTCAGATTCGTTACAATTGGGTTTATTATGGAGCGTCAATCACGTAATTTAACCCGTGATGAATGTGCCCAAGCAATCATTCTTTTGGAGGAAGGCTGGAGTTGTCGACGAATTGGTCATCGATTCAATGTGTCTCACACATCCATCACACGGATCTGGCAAAGATTCCGTGAAACAGGCGAGCATGCTCGCAGATCAGAGCAATGGCGAAATCGAGTATTTGAGTATTTTAGCACTTCGACAACGGTTTGTTACACATTGAAGTTCGCCTAGGATTGCTGCCCGGCATCTTCTATTAACTGCAGACTATCGAAGGGAGAAACTACATTTTGCCAGGGAACACGTCAATTGATTAAAGGTCGAATGGGAACGAGTGTTATTCACCGATTAGTCCCGATTTTGTTTACACAATAACGACAGACGTGATCGTGTGTTACGACGTCCCAATGAACGATATGCTCAATATAACTTTCCACAAACCACATTATTTGGTGGAGGCTCCGTTATGGTATGGGGTGGTATTTCTTTGATCGCACGTACGGACCTAGTGGTCATACACAATGGGTCCGTTACAGCTGAAAGGTACATAATGGAGACCTTGGAGCAACAAGAAGTACCATTAACCCATTATATCGGCGAAAATTTCTTACAAATGCAAGACAACGCCAGACACCATGCTGTACAGATAGTCAGAAAGTACCTCGAAGAGGTTGAAATTAACACCATGGCATAGCCAGCACGTAGCCCGAATTTAAATTAAAAAAAAATATCTGAGATACCCTTTATAGACGATTGAGAGAGCACCCGATCCAACCAAACAACCTGCAGGAACAGAGGGAGAGACTGATTCAGGTTTGGAGGACTGAACCAGAATGAAATAAGGCACGTAAGTTCAAGTATGGGCCGACGATGTGACACTATTATACATGTTAGAGGTGGAAACACTCGTTATTGACACTTCTGTATGTTTTCGTCAACTTTTTACTTGGCACACTTCATTCCACTCATTTCACTTCAGTCCGGTGCTGAATGGTAAATTATTCTAGGCAGAAAACCTCTAACAGCTTTGGATAGATATATGGTTTTTACTGTGGTTCCGCCAGGCGGTTCGACGTGAGTGCTTCACTCACTCGAATTGACTGCCGTGTTGGTCGGTGGTTCAAGCCCTAGTCTGAACGATCGATTTTCACTTGCTATCGTCAAACACGTGTTAGGAATCACACGTTAAAAAATAAGACCTCGTTAATCCTTAGCTCGCACAAATTTCGACTTCTGAGGGTTGTCGTTCATAGGGGTGCGACAGCTGGTTAACGGAAAAACAGATTTTAAAACAGATTTTTTTAAAAATAAAAAGTGCTTCTATTGATGCAAATATTTCACTCCATTTGATCAACTCAATTTGATCAACTCCTTTCATTAATGAACACAAAAACCTGAAGAACAGACCCTAGACCACATCTTGCTTGCTTGATATTCGGTTGAAAAAAGTTGAGCAAGATTAATGGCTTTTATACCGGTTTAATTTCTCACTGTAAAATGACTAAAATGAATTGTGATTTACAGTTTAGAATGTATGTAGAACTGAACTTCATAAACATGAATACTAGTTGGTGGTGAACATAATAGCTAATTTATGATATGAATGTTAAAAGTAAAGTTTTATTTTGTGAGTGAAAAAGTTTGAGAAACGAGCCCAGCGAGTTGAGCAATTTCACAAACAAAATAAAACTTTTTTTTAACACAAATATAATACACTTTCAATTAACTATTTTCATTTTATCGCATTTGCTGTGAAGTGGCCGTGTCAGGTGACGCCGAATAACCTGGTTACCAACAAACAGTATTGTTTACAGCTCACGCGTTTTGTTTAAAGTTTTCGCTGGTGTTTAATGTCTTGCATATTGAAGAACAATAGTGAGGAATTGTGTGTTCCTGACGATATTGAAGAGGCTGGAAAAATGGATTATTCAATTGAATTGTTACCAAAAAAATCGGCTCAGAAAATCGTGTTAAAAATACTTTCAACACTAGTGTTAAAAATATTTTCACCACGCTACTTTGTAAACATCATCTTTTAATACTATTGGCAACCATTAAAAATGACAGTTGTACAAAAAAGCAATTTAGGCTTCCACTTTACAAAAATGAATAACTAAAATTCAGCTTACCACATTCTGCATAAGTTTCAATGTAGCAGATTTCAATAGCATTCCCGTTGACATCAAAGATGAGCCTTTAGAAATAATGTAAAAAGCAGACAAAAATACTGCTACAATTTTCTCTGGTCCTTGGTATGATTCTAAAAGGAAATAAAGCCAAGGTTGTATCGTAGCTAGGCTTCTGTACATCTGTGATGATGCCTCAATGAATAGATATATTTTACCCTGAAAATAAAGTTATAATATGAGTTTACAGGTACATGTTGCGAGTAGAGTATGTATAAATAATATAGTGAACCCCTTTTAATCCGGCGCACCCTGTATCCGATATAGTTCTCGTGATTTGACGGATTGCAATGAACTCTTTTTTTAAATTATCCGAAGTACAAGGGGTCTGTGACAGTACTCTACAGTGCTAGTCAAAAGTCCCCTCCCCCCCTCGTATCTTTTGAACGGGTATACTTATAATAATGAAATTTGGAGTGTGGAAATAAACGGATGTAGGCTTCTTAACTGGTCATAACAGGTGACGCAATAGTCATAAATGACGTCACAAGGCCACTGTGACCAAAAATTTTAAATGGGACCCTATGGCAAGTGACAGCTCGTTTGAAAGGTATTGAAAATACCTATTCAGTCATACCAATTTTGTTTGGGTTTCGGCTGATTTTGATTGATAAATTGAAGAAATACGAAAATTATAGTTTCGCATTTAATTAATAAAGATTTAAGAACCAGTTCTTATAATAAAAAATCTGTTTAAAATCTGTTTTTCCGTTAACCAGCTGTCGCACCCCTACGTACGACAACCCTCAGAAGTCGAAACTTGTGCGAGCTAAGTTAAGACCAGTTAAGAAGCCTACATCCGTTTATTTCCACCCTCCAAATTTCATTATTATAAGTATACCCGTTCCAAAGATACGAGGGGGGGAGGGGACTTTTGACTAGCACTGTATAATACTACAAATTCCATAATTAGACAACACCTTGCAAAACGGTTGTCGAATTACTGTGGGTCTATTGAATTTCTACTGTAATGAAGGCTGATTGAAAGAATCTACCTCATAAAATTTTACGATCTGCGTTTATGAACTCATTTGTATTAGATAAGGATGAGAAAGACAGGAAAAATACTTTTGAAGGAAACTATACACTGTAATGCCGAAATCTGATGTAGAAGGTGAATAAAAACATAATTATTATATTGTATTTCAATTATTCATACTGTAGTAGTATAAATTAAATAAATAAAAGTGATTATCTGATGAAACAAAGTAAAAGCAGTCATGAAAAAAGGCGGCCTGAAGACAATACTTAGAAACCATAATACAAAAAGATAAATGTAACAAAAAAATAAATCAATCAAAGGAAATAGTAAAAAGATTTTCCGACAAGAGTTTGTAAATGTAGTGAATGAAATATATTAAACAAATAAAGTTTATATGTTCTCCTGTAACGAATGTGTTGTATGAGAAAGAAATCAAAGACAATAAACTGACTACAATGAAGCGGAGGAAGGTGTGCCTATAGAGGTGATCAAATAGGCCAATCAGGTAAGTAAGTAACAAAGGTATGGAATGGTTATTATATATAATAAAGCGTGGAAGGCTAAAACACCAATGCACCGAAAATAATATAATTATTTCCACATACTACCAAAATGAGACCAACTTAACTATAGGAGGTTGGAAAAATGGTGAAAACAAATAAAAAATATCAAAACATTTCGCTGAGATTTAACTTCAGATAACGCATTTTCTTTGACTTGGAAATTTTGAATTAGATATTTCGTATTTCATGGGCCAAATTTGAACGGTCCTGGATAGTTCATGACATTTCTGTAACAAATCTCCATCTTGATTTTGAACCTTTCAACTTGTTGAAACCAAGAAATATGTTAAAACAATTTGTCGTCCTGTATTTTTTGACGTTTTTTTGAAAGGAGTTGTCAATAATAATATTTGAGCAGACAGACGACATTTAGATGAAGATTATATATGGCGTCAAATCGTCAGCTCACTAATTTGCTATTCCGTTGATGACATCCTCGAAGCCTGATAGCCAACGTCTAGGAAAAAATTATCAATCATGCTCTAAAGAGCATGAAAAAGTACAGCATGCAATAGAACACGAAATTCTGATTAAACAACTTGACTCAGTAGAAATGAAACATCATGTGACACAAGCAGAAATATTAGAGAAAGAAAGAAAATCAGGTAATTAAAAATCGAAAACAGTAATCAAATTGAAATTTTGCTCGTCCCACATACATCTGATTCATTGAAAAATACCTATATTGAGAACTGAATAAATACTATCGAAGAAAAAAATGACATACCCACTAATGACGTCAATGTGACCAAGTACTAAATCTGAAATTGCCCAACTTTGTGAAACTTTGGGAACTGTTTTGGAAGCAGTTGTCCCCTCAAATAGTGTTGCAAAATCAGAAAAACGATTAGTCAGAGATTGAATTGAAAAAGACTTTCCCTGTGAAAAATCCATGATAAGACTCTAAAAATGTTCCAAAATTTCAAAATCATAGCGGATGAACTAAAAAATAAAATCAACAGGAACAACAACCACAGCATCAAGAATTCAATGGAAGTCACAGACAGAATCTTAATGACAAACGTCAGCACGAACACTAAACTATTCTCATTCGAGAACCAAAACTATTTCGAATCCGAAGGAAACATAGATGAGAAAACATACCTGCAAACCATAGATGAGAAAATTTTAACAATAATCAAAACACACGACGAAAAACGTGTGTCATCAGATACGTTGGCCTGTACATATCACAAAACAAAGGATTACGACTAGAACAAATAACAAAGGAAATTAACAAATTAAATCAAAAGAATGATTTTCAGCATAGAGAAAGAAAACGACTCGAAATTCAACTACCTGGACATAACTATCGGATGTAACCACAACAAAACCAAATTTCAATATACAGGGAACCTACATAAACAAGCTACACCATACCCGCAAGTCCGAACCACCCACCATCACACAAAATGGCTGCCTATAATGCATTATATCATATATCAAATTATATATCAGATAGCAAACGAGAGCGGATACATCCAAAAGACAACACTTAAAAGCCGAACACGAAAATAACACAAAAATAAACAGCTATGAAATAAAAGAAGACAAAAACCAAAACGGAGTATACAGCATACAATGATCGGACTGCAACAAATTGTATATCGGCCAAACCAAGAAAAAACTGATCCAAAGGTACGACGAGCACAAAAAAGCATACATAAACCCAATAACATATAAATCAAAGCTCGCAACACAAGCCATACAAAACAAACATAACTTTCCCCAACCTGAAAATATCAAACTCATAAAACAATAAAGGAAAACGTATGGACTTCTGTAAAAACCTAAACATCCATAAATTCAAAAGTCATAATTCTCTTATCGAGGAACAAATACAAATCAATACACAACAAGACCTAACATTCAATATACTACACAAAACAATACACATTCCTAGAAACAATGAACCTAGAAAAATACCAACATAAAGAAAAGTACAAGCAAATTTAGAGACATCCGGATGAAAGGAGAGGACAAATACATGCACTAAGGTGTTCTAACCGTATAAAAGAACAAACAGGAAGATAAAACGTTCAGTTTAAGTAGAGCCATGAAGATGATAGCACAGCCTGCTATATATAGGCCGTTTCTTTTAACATGTGGTAACATTGCTATATTCTAAACCGTAACAGATACGAAGACGATTAAATGGAAAAAAAACGTAGCTGTCATCGCGAATAATAACAATGGTCGAAAAAAAATTACGGAAACTCTCACCCTAGTTACAGTTCGATAACCCCTTACATCAGCAGGATATTTTTAGATGACCCAAAGACGACATGAATTATTTTGCTGATATCTGCAAAGTCGGCAATAATTTATATATAAATAGGTGCAATTGTTTTGTAATAGCCAGTACTTATATTTCATAGTTATTAGTTGTTACTCTGTTCAAAAAAAACTTTTTAAAAACCCTTTTGTGTGAACGAGAAATATAATTGGCGCAGTCATTAGGATAGTGGAAGAGTCCTTAGAAGATCCTCGTCGTTCTGAAACGGTTATCCACTATTCTCCCGAACCAAGTTCCACCGAGAAGCAAGTACTCCAGGAAGAATTCCGGCCGTAGACAAGAATACCTCTTCACTATCGTCCGTCAAGGAATATCTACATAGAAATAAGTTTTTGGTGACAGAATATGCAACGAGCCATCTCGAGATATACGGGGACAACCAGCTGTTTTTCGTTTTTTTCGAATGGAATTGTTATTTTGAAGAATATCAAAAAATGGAAAAGGAAAATGTTATTGTAAGTATTCGAAGTGTTCTATGACGATGTAATAGTGAATATTCGATAAAACGTTTTGTGTCAACATGGCCACCATAAACTTTTTTTTTAAATGGCCCTGTCTTTTTTATTACAGATATTGATAAAGCAATAAATTCACAATCCAAGGGTATATCACATTTGATATTTTCATAGCATTTCATTTGAAATAACTACCATCATTGACAACAATTTTAAATTATGGTCTTTCTTTTGTAAATTGTTTCGATTTCTTCAAAATATAATTCAAACAACCCTATAAACTCGACAGGTAGGTACCCTAACACAATGAAAATTCGTTCTTTTTCGTTTTGGAAATTTTTGTATTGCCTTAATACTTCTATCAAGGCTTATTTCTCCCTAATCAATTATAATTCGTAATATTTTTATGATTCTCAATCCTGGAAGTAACAAAAATATCAGTTTTTAGTCAAAATACGATTGTTGTATAGTTTGGTATGATCAAATAGCATCTCAATTAATTTACCATCTTAAACGTGTAGGCTTTGCTTGGTTTCTATGGCAGGAAAAATGAATGCGTTGTTGATATCTGTTGAAAACTGTCAGAAGTTTATAAACATATCAAAGATGTATTCAAATGATGAAAGGACTGATTGTGCTATTTAGTTATGCAAAATCAAATGAAATCCTTTTTTGGCACGGAATATGTATGTTGAGCTATACCCGAATCGCCGTATTCCGAACATCCAAATGTTTAGACGATTAGATAGAAATTTGAGGGACTATGGTGCACTTGACAGAAAGAAAACAAGAAAATGTGTGGTTGCTGGCAGTGTGAGGAATCAAATAAATGTTATCTGTAAGCAAATATTATCACATAAAAATGTACACAGTGAAAACATCTTTTTTTTTAATTTAGGATTGACCAGTTACAAAAATTATGCTAATCAAGATTGTTCTTTACGAGAAATTGACCTCGAAATGGGGATTTCTGTAAAATCCACCAGAACTATTTTGAAAAAATATATATATAAATGCTAGAGGATACGCAAAGTTCATCACCTCAATGAAAGGGATTATGGAAGGAGAGTACGATTTGCGTAGTGGAAGACGTAGAAACAGGAAAGTTGAAAATATTTGTAAAAAAATAATAAGGACGGACGAATTTAAATCACCAACAATGGTTGGTTTAACAGAAATATCCATTATAGGTGGAATAATACAAATGAACATTTTCATAGGAAAACCAATTTTCAAGAAAGGTTTGGAATAAATGTTTGGTTGGGAATTGTGGGAAAAACATCCTTGGCCCTTTCTTTTACGATGATCATTTGAATAGTGAAATGTATCTTCATTTTTTATTCAATAAATTCCATGGCTACTTAGATGAATTGCCGCTGAATATCCGCCATGAAATACAATATTTTCAACAGGACGCCGCTCTTTCCCATAATTCAGCAATAGTAAGGGAACATTTAGATGCAATATTCCCAAAAAAAAAGGATTGGAATCAATGGACCAATAACTGGCCAGCTCGATCCCCAGATCTTACTCCTTTTGATTTTTTGTGTGGGGATACATAAAGGATAAAGTTTTTTCAACATCAAATACAGATATCAACCATCTCAAACAAAAAGTAAGAGATGCATGTATTAGTATTACACCTATTATTACACCACAGAAATTGTCTGGACCGACAACTTATGTGCATTCAACAAAGAGGTTGACAATTCGATCTTTTAATGTAGATTGCCACGTAGCTTTGATTTTCCGTATTGGTTTCATTTTTTCCAAAAGTTCATGAAAAAATAAATTATTTTTCTGTTTGATTGTTGTCACTGATGATGGTGATTATTTCAAATGAAACGCTATAAAGATATCAAATGTGATATACTCTTGCATTGTGAATTTATCGCTTTATCAATATCTGCATTAAAAAAGACAGGCCCGTGTTTAAAAAAAAAGTTGATTTTGGCCATACTGACCGGAAACGTTTTATCGAATATTTATTATTACATCATTATAGACTTCGAATACAATAGCATTTTTCTTTCCCATTCTTTGATATTCTCCGAAATAACATCCATTAAAAAAAATACGAAAAACAGCATTTTTGGTTTTCCTCATATAACTCGATAAGGGCGAGAGTCCGCGTAATTTTTTTTCGATCATTGTATTGTTCCCGATGACAGTTATCTTTTTTCCCATTTAAATCGTCTTCGTATCTGTTACGGTTTAGAATATAGCAATGTTACCACCCTTTTTTGCTCCCCTTTTTTTTAACGAAATATCTCTTTCTTGTTATTTTCTATATTTTATCATCTATATTTGCTACTTTATCTGATTTTTCTAGATCTTAGTTTTCTTATATTTCATATTTTCAGGTTTCTTCTAGGTATATGTATATGTTTGGGAGAATAACCATTTTTTGTTTATATCACCTGCCTGAATGTTCTAACTGTATGCCCTGAGTACGAGCTGGGTTTACTGTGTATGTATGTACATGTTCAATGATTAAATCTGATTCACCAAAAATTTATTTCATGTAGATTTGTGAAATGCCACTTGGTTTTTGTAATTTCAGTTTTTTTATCATCCAGTGTTTCTGTGTATTGTTTTGATTCCTCTACTTCTTTACTGAGAGAGCATTTGTTCTTATGACCTTTTTTCATTTCTGTTTGTGGTATTTGGGTTTCCTTATAACTTATCATTAATTAGACGAACTTTCTGAATCTTTTCAAGTAGAGTATATATTTATATAAGTCCTTTTTTTCTTCTCTTGTTTATTTCACCCGAATAACTTTACCATAGTGGAATAAAAACCAAAAGGTTTCACACGTTATTCAGTAATGTGACAAATAAGTTGCTTTTCATTTCCTTCTGCCATCCACCTGCAATTGCAGGAAGCTTTCTGAGTGAAGCGACAAAAATCTAACCAACTTGAAATCTGGTCTGTTAAAATACACTTGAAAAGTCTAATTATTTCAAACTGGAGTTGGTATAAGTCTTTTTATAATGTGTATTTTACCATCCAAAATATCTCAAGTAACTTGACTATGATGGAATAAAAAACGTTTTCTTCACTTGTTATTTTCAGTAATGTGACAAATTAGCCGTTTTCTTTCCTTATTGTCTTCTGCAATTGCAGAAATAGAAATCGCTTCACTAAGCTTTCAAAGTGAAGCGACAAAACATTTCCAGTTATCTATTTTTTATGCAGTATTAAAAAATATTTCAATGTGAGATTTCAACTTGACAGTTTCCCAATACAATAGCATCTTCAGGTGTCACAATACCGACTAAAAATTCTGTGTCGAATCTGAGACACAGAATTTGTATAGTCAGTAATGTGACCCTTTGACGCTATTGTATAGCGGAACATGTGTCTCACTTTTGACAATATAACCTTTTCAATGGTCGAAATAGTTACAAATGTTTTTTGGGTGATATTTTATCTATGAGTCTATGAATCAAGAGCAAAACCCAATTCAAAAAATTTGACAAATAAAATGAGTGGCCACTAGAATGAGAAATGTCTAATTTAAAATCTTAGGATGCCAAACCAAAGAGAATAGTCTATATGGAGTAAATGCTCGTAAAGGCTCAGTAACATATTTTTAAATTCCTAAACAGAAGTAGAAACTCTCAAAACGCCTAGCATCAGATACGTATTTTTGATATGCTTTTATCAACGGTCAGAACTCCTGGATATTGACCTTCAACTCACTTTGCTAATCATATACATTAGAAGATGAAAGAGTAACAAATTGGTATGCATTTCATCAAACAAAATTGTTAACAAAAATAATAGTCTACACGAAGAAAAACTAGAAGTTTAAAAATAAACTTGCGAACCCTAAAGGAAAATTATCTGATATTTAATAATTTTTAGAGAATTTCACGAACTTTGATTATTCTTTCTACAGCCAGTTTTGTTTGACGATATCTTGAGAATGGAGCAATGAGGAACCTGAAGTGCTCAATTTATGGAGATGCAAAAGAAAAAATGAATATCTCTTAAAAATATACCCCTTTCAACTGCTCTAGTCATCCTGGTAAAATGATTGATCCAAGGTATCCAGGTATGATATTATCATCTTTAGTTTGCCACATTTACATTCATGGAGTTTGAGTAATTCTGGTTAATTTACTCTCATTGATATATGTTATTACAATTATTCTACATCACTTCAATGTGGACAAACACAAAAATGGAAGATAGAAATAGAAGAACCACTACATATACTAATATTCATAAAACTAAAATCTACTATATAAGTAAGCACAACCTGGCAAACTTTAGAAAAAATGTTGACAAAACTAATCATTTAAGGATGGTAATGAAAAATATTAACTAGAAAATAGTAGAGCCAAAGTGCAAATGAACAGTCTTATATCACAGAGTTAAGACAAACATGGAAGTTGATGTGAAGAATAGCAAAGCAAAATAAGGTAATATTGAGAAAAGTAGAGACTTAAAACGCAAAAGAATAGTTAAACAGTTGATAATGATGAAAAAACAAATACAGGAAGAATGAACTGAGGGAGGAATGCAAGACAGAATGAAAAAAAATGGCTATAAGAGAAATGGAATCCCAGACTATGACTTGACTATGATGATCCCAAAGGCCTGAAGGAGCAAAAAGATGAAGAAGAGTGATCATATTTCCCCTTCATTTTAACAGAAACTGTATTAATTGTTATACTACATAAAAAAGTGAAAATAAACAATATTAGGTTATACACTATAATTACAAAAATATGACCATGGTCAAAATAATTATTAACATACCCTTTTTTTGAATTCCAGCACTCTTTCTGGCAGCATGGTGAAGAATATTTTTATTGCCACAGTTATTAGTTTCAAAGTGAAATCAGTGACAGTCACAATCCACAATAAATTCCAAACTGATAAAGGGTGAATAAAATTTCTTATCAAAATCAAGTTCAAAATGATGTTAAAATTCTGGATATCAGAAAATTCATAATGTATAAATATCAAACACACCAAAATATATAATAACTCTACTGCCAATGCACGAATACTCCTTCTATTCCTCTTGATTGCTTCTTTTTTCACTGCTGAATTAGAATGAGCAAATGTAATGAAGAGCATTATTAGAATAAATATTCCTTGGTGATAATCATACAAACATTTGGCAAGCAGTATTAGAACAAATGGAACATATTTTAACAAAACTATGATCAACTGTTGAGCCTCAATTACAGTTTGCATTCTGTCAGGATCATCTGAGTTGTTGTTGTCGGCATTATTGGGATTCTCTAACACATTTGGATTGACAATTTCTTGAACAACATTATCTTCTGCAGAACCTGAGACATCTAAGTTGATATAGAAACTATCGTTTGCTGAGTCATTGAGTGAATGGCCAGGCACATTTATATCAGATTGGGGCCTGTTCAAAAAACTTGTAACACCAGCATTAACATTGCGAGCAGTTTCTACTAAAGGTTCTATCTCTCTTATAACATTTGTTAAACTATCTCTTAGGTGTCTGGCTCCTTCCACAGTTCTATGGAAGGATGCAGGTGCCGATAAAGAAGACAGAGTGCTACTTGAATGAGAATCAAAAAATGTTCTTAATTGTGGTGATGTCAACTCTTCAGAATGACTGCGATGAAATTGATAATTTGTGTTACTATCATTTTGATTGTGTGCCATATTTATTAAATTCACCAATAATCATTTCAGTCTTTCAAAATTGTGTTCCTTCTGGCTTAAACTATTTACAAGATAGTTGAAGTTTTTTCCAATAATTTATAACTCTTCTGACGCAAAAACAACAATTTGTTCACTCAACTGCTGCATCACTTATTATCTCTCCTATCAAAACGTAAACATGAATAATACGATTGTTTTTATTCAAATTTGTGTAAGAATAATATTATTGGGAATTACTGTGTGGCTGTTTTGTGATTACAGTTGAGTCGACGAGAGAATACACATGACACATGTCGATGACATGTGTCATCCGATAAGAGCCGATAAGCCAGAGAACACCTAAAACTAATGAAAACGAAACAATGTGGCTAGCGCAGCGAACAGGCTATTCTTTTAATGAAGAATTACTTTCATTTTTGAAATTCACTAATAGTGGAAATCCTGTTACGAATTTAGGTAAATTTCACATCAGCACTATATCGATCATTCTAAGGAAATATATTTCGTATTACATTTTCAACTCGGATATAATTTAAATATTCCAGTATACAGGACATTGAACAGAGCCATACCCAATTCAGGTTGAAATTTATAGTTACGATATAAACCTTACTCAGTATAAATATGAAATGTCTGTGTTAATTAGTAGTGAAAATAAATATTTGGCTAGTACGAAAGAATTAAAACCTTAGAAACTTTTCAATAACTAACATAAACTCTCGAACGTTATAGTAAAACCAATAATGATTGAGAGTAAAGCGCGTTGTCATATCTAAATTTTACGTTACCAGTTTATAGCAGAATCAAAATATAGTAAGCAGTAGACTTGTAGGTTGTGGCAAATTATAGATAGTACACAATACTAGTACGATTAAAAAGTATTATTTATGACAAAAATCAGTAATGAGCTTGTAATGAGTAATACTTATACATTTCCTGATTACTGATCAGTTAAAATTCATTATTTTCTGTATAGTGTTAGATATTTATTACAACTAGTGGCAACGCTGTACGCAACGATATTTCTGTCTTTGTCACTTTACCGTAACTTCCATCTCATCGTTGCAGTCCTCACTAATGTACTTGCAGCCATGAGCGTATCATTG